TTGTTCTTTTAGAGTCAATTAGCATCATTTACACTTACCATTTATGTCACAGCTTGTCCCCCCCTTTTTCTGCTTCTGATAAAGCTAGAGAGTCTCATAAATATTTACAACAATTCTGGGCCTACATTCTTTCTTTTAATATTAATTCTATGGAAAGACATATTTCTTTCCCTCCATATATCCTCCTGTCTGCTTTAGCTCTGCTACTACATCTCACTAAGCACAGTTTTGAAGCTCCTTCCTATTTATGGGCTTTTATCATTAGAGATAAATCTTTACACAGTGGATTTGTGACTTTGGGTCCTCCTCCCAGAGGATTTCCTATTCTCAGCAGCATAGATAAAGGAATGATAGCTATTAATTTGCTTCTTTCAGAATGAAATAAATACAAAGCGAATGCTGCATCTATATTTAGGCCACAGAGAAAGATAGACTGCTAAATTACCAAGCTGAATTAATTTAGTTGTGACCAGGATCAATTTAAGGAATTTGGAGACCCAATGCAATTGCCAATCCTGCAAGGTAGACCAGATCTGAAAATGAATTTCACAGGAAGACTAAAATAATACTTTATTGGTAGTGTGAGAAGTGAACCAATGTAACTCCATTTTAGATAAGCTCTCCATTTTGTATTCTGTACTTTTCCACTGTGTGTATGTGTGTGTGTTTCAAAAAGCAACCTCAGCGGTTTTTCGGAGAAACAAGAACAAGGATTGTTTAACTGGTATACGTGCAAAGCCCCAGATAGATGAAGCAACAGAATGTTCCGTATTGCTGATACATTGTATCTCGCTTTTGTGTATTGGGAGTATAAGAATGTATGCTTGGCTTGGCTCTGTGTTCCATCCCGCTGCCTTGGATGTGAACCCGTTTCTGCAGAATCGTAACAATAAACTGCTTTGTTTGAAGAAGTTCCGTGTCGTGTCAGCGTCTTGTGCGAACGCAATTTCACAGTAGTTTATAATAACAGAATCTTAAAAGTTTGACTGTGCTTTTCCTCCTTTCCCTTTTGTACCCAGGGTCTCAGGGCATTTCTTAATACTGTTTCTATTCCCAACACTTAAGAAATGCTTTTGTCTTTGTTGCTTACATAATAGTTTCAGTATGTTTGCTTCAGAATGACTTGCCAAGCTTTCTATACCACCCAACACACAACCCTAGTGTGATACTGCAGATGGGTTCTTCCAAATGAGATGGAAGCGGAAACTATAGTAGATTTGTTTGCATTCACAAACTAATTTGGGAACACACATCATGTAGTAAAATCCTATTTAGAAGAATTATGCCATTGGTCTGATCTACCCATTGTCTAAGCCTGTGGACTTGGCTTGGTTCAAACCCCTTTTGGCCTGATTTTTGTGCGGCCAAGATGCATCCCACTTAGCCAGGGGCAGGCTTCAAAAAGTTCAGCAACTGGTTATCTGCCTAATTGGTGGGTGGGCATGGCCATGGTGGGCGTGGCCTAGTCAGCCTCCTGAACCATGACAGGGGGGCCATTTTCGCTCTCCCCAGGCTCCAGAGGCTTTCATCGAGCCTCCAGGAGGCAAAAATGGCCTTCCCTGGGCTCTGGAGACCAGAAATGGGCCTGTTTTTCATCCTCCCCAGGCTCCACCCAGGCCCTGTACTTACCTGGCCTCCAAAAAGGGCCACATGGGGATTTCTGGGAGGGGTGAGGTGGTGGGGTAGTGAGGTGTGGGATTTACCAATTTGCTGAACCAGTAATTATAAAGGAGAAAATTAGCTACCAGTTTTCCCACCCCTGCCCTTCTTGAACATGACCCTTTGAAAATCTTTTTAGCTCAGTCTACCTACTGGCTAACACATAGCTGCCTTGGCTAGCAGGTAGACCGGATTTTTCAAGTGATCTGTGACAAATATGAAGCACTTTCTCAGGAGTGACAAGTACACACAGTGCTTTTTCCTCCCACTTTTGCATGCCCATATCTCACATCTTACTGTTCTGCCACAAGCTCTGTTTTTCTGGGCTACAATATATTATATATCATGACTCCTGAAACCGGCAATAGGTATTACGCCTCGATGGTGCAATGGTTAGAGTACTGCACTGCAGGCTACTTCTGCTGAGTATTGGCTGCTTGCAATCTGGCAGTTCAAATCTCACCAGGCTCAAAGTTGACCCATTGTTCCAAGGTGGGTAAAATGAGGACCCAAAATTGTTGGGGGCAATAGGCTGACTCTGTAAAACCACTTAGAGAGGGCTGTGAAGCACCAAGTCTAAGTGCTATTGCTATTCAGGATAGTCAACATGTTCACTTCATATGTGGTGGGATTCAAATTTTTTTTAGTACCAGTTCTGTGTGCGTGGCTTGGTGGGCATGGTGGGGGAAGGATACTGGAAAATCTTCGGTCAGAGGTGGTATTTGCCGGTTGTCTGAACTACTCAAAATTTCCGCTACCAATTCTCCAGAACTGGTCAGAACCTGCTGAATACCATCTCTGATTATTGTAAGGCTACATTACCAGAATCTTGTATGTCTGCCAGTATAAATTTCCACTGTCCTTTTCATACCCTACAAAGTTAGTGAGTTTCCTTTCTTTCTTTGCCCATTATGCATCTGAGGGCTATATCCTCTCTCATCTGATCACTCTCTATGCAGCATCTCTTTTCTCCTCCCAATCTTCCATTGACATTCCCACACAGTGTTACAGTGAAGTTTCAGTTTCAGATTTCAGATTTTACTGATTTAACTAATTTATACATTCAGTCAAATGAGTGCACAACTCAGGTAATGTGCATCTTCAATAAAAAAAATATTCTGTTCCAAAGGATAGGAGTAGGAACTGAGAGGAAATGGTTCCAGGGAATATCTGACAACATCACTTGGAGATCCAAGGTTGAGATATAGAATTGAGTATCATCAGCATCCTGATGATATCTTGTCCCATGCCAATGCATGACTTCATGCACTGGTTAATGTAGATATTGATCAGGAGTAGGAAAGAACTGAATTCTGAGGTAATCACAAAGTAGGTCTCCTAGGCAAGATCTCTCTTTCTCTCATTCTTCCCCCACAATACTGTCTGAAAAGGCCAAAAGGAAAGAGGAATCACTGCAGCCTGATATTCAACACTTACATCCTTGAGCTCCCATAAGTTACCATGTTGGTGGAATTCAAGTTTGACAAGGGATCACAGAGGGTGAGGAAGCTGCACCACCTTCATCATGGTCCCACCAGAAGTTATGAACAATCATGATTAGTGATATTTCTGTACAGTGCCCAGTTGTTAAACTTGACTGAAAAGAATCCTGATAATCTGCTTCATCCAAGCACCTTGGAGCTGCTAGAAATTATTTAACACAATTGAGTCTAATGACGATTTACTGAAATGGTAAAGATCACAGTCTCCAAAATGGCAGGTGCAACCATACTACACTCAAGGAAAAATTTCCCACATGATATATTCTGGGAGATCTTTATCACCCAGGAGCAGGATGGATATAAAATGCCAGTGGATACACCCACAGCTCGCAAGAACCCAGTCACTTTCTCAGGGCCTAAAGTATAAATTCTTGGTTTTCACCTACAATCACCAAAAGATTGCGCCTTAGCCATCTCCACAGGATCTGCATCTTTCAGAGTTCAACTCCTAGTGAAATTACATCAACAAGATATTACCATTATTAAATAGTGTTTAAAATCACTCCTCTCCAGCTCGGTATATGTTTTTAAATATTTTCTCTGAATGATTCTATTACTATTCTGAACAATTTTGTTAATATGTTTTTTTATTTTAAGTAATAATAAAAATAACATTTTTTTGAAAGGCACTGCCTGTCTACAACATGTGTGGGGAAAGGATTTGATAAAATACTTTTAATAAACAAAGCAAAAGAGCGAATGTGATCTCTACTGAATACTACATTTTCCACTGGTAAATATTTCAAACAGTTACAATTTGATTTATTTAATCCTCATTGTGTAATTAACACGAATTAGTAGATGGAGCAGTTTATAGCACTTCAGGGAGATGTTCCCCAAACCAATATTTTCTCGGTAGAATTATCTTCTCCATCATTCCAAATAGAGTTGAAGGAAACATTAATGTCTGCAGAAGTGTATAAAGCTGTTGAGTTACTGAAGATTGAAGGAAAATATTTGAACTGTTTTTACAGCTGCGTAAGTTTTAAAAATCTGCAGTTCGAAACTTGTAACAAATACAGATATTTTAATATGTGAAGGAAGTTGTTGAGCTGCAAGAAAACAAGTGAGTTTTAATAATAAAAAACACAGGGCAATTATACATGTGTTGTATTTTATTGTTTGTGAGAGTTTGTTTTAGGAGTTCATGGGATGACGAGTTGTTACTTCAAAGAGAATTGACTGTATGTTCAGAGGAGGTTCAGATCATGCCTGTATGTCATGCACAAGGTCATTTAAATTTTTAAATATGGCATTTTATATAGCTCATATTGCATCAGAAACCATGGGAAGATTGGCAATCTAAGAAGACCTCAAAATTTGCTCCTTTAAAAAAAAATCCCTTTATATATTACAAAATTTAGAAGTTTAGTGAAGTATTATCATTGTTATTAGGCATAAAAGATATGAGAGTTAGTATGTTCACTATTCGGAATTCATTTGATCATCTCAAGAAACGAGGAGCCCAAATAGTCCAAAGATCAGCTTGTACAAGTCATAGAACATGTAGATCCAGCAACGAATCAATAAAACAATATATACAGTTGAAAGCAGTAAGAACTTTCTTCACTTAGATTGCTAATGCTTTACTGCAGCTTCTGAAAGTATCTTGTGAAATAAAAAGTCAATACAAATCATATTTTGCTCTGATATCTTTTTGATGTTTTCCTAGGTTTAAAAAAGAGTTCCTCAACTTGAAGATTTCAGCACCACTCCCTTGGTTATTACTTGTCTTTAATTGTTCTGTGGAGAAATGTACTCATGGGGAGAAACTAGTTTAATCACAAATAGTATGTTATATCCAATCTGCACTTTTATGTAGATAGATATTGTGATTACATGGGAAACAGCACAGAGGTGACAGAATTCATACTCCCTGGATTAACAGAGGACTCACGGTTGCAACTCATCCTCTTTGGGACATTTTCTGCTGTTTATGCCATCACCCTGGTGGGAAATCTAAGCATGATTATTTTGATCAGGATCAGTCCTTCTCTCCACACCCCAATGTACTTTTTCCTAACCAGCTTATCTTTTTTGGATCTGTGTTACACCTCATCTGTCACCCCCAACTTTCTATCCAATCTTTTAAAAGAGAAGAAAAGTATTTCTTATGGGGGCTGTTTTACTCAGCTCTACTTTTACGCACTATTTGGAACCACGGAGTGCTACCTCCTAGCTGTGATGGCCTATGATCGCTACGTGGCAATCTGCAATCCTCTACTCTACTTGATGATAATGTCCCAAAGAAAGTGTGTTCGGCTGATAGCAATTTCGTACATTGCTGGGTTCATTAATGCTTCTGTGCACACAATAACCGCGACTACTAGACTGTCCTTCTGTGGCCCAAACATAATTAAGAGTTTTTATTGTGAGGGTCCACCTCTTTTTGCTCTTTCCTGCTCAGATATCAGTCTTAATTATCTGTTGGTATTTGTATTTGTTGGCTTCAATTTAATAACAACAAGCTTGACTGTTCTCACCTCCTATACTTATATCCTGGTCACCATTTTAAAGATCCGCTCTGCCACGAGCCGTAAAAAAGCCTTCTCCACATGTACATCTCATCTCATGGTCATCACCATTTTCTATGGATGTCTCAGCTTTATGTATGCACGGCCAAGCTCTAGATCCAATTATAACCTAGACCAAATGGCCTCTGTGTTCTATGTAGTGGTGACCCCTATGTTCAACCCATTAATCTACAGCATGAGGAACCAGGAGGTAAGAGGTGCCTTCAGAAATATCCTAGGACGAAAAGTTGATGCTCAGCAGATATGATTGCTGTTACCCAAATTAAGAATTAGATCAATTTGTTTTAGTAGCAAATGGTTTATATTATTCTGACTTATTGAATAAACACTGTTAAGGCTCCAGTAGTAGCTATATGAACCTTTGACTTCAAAAACCTTTGAGTTCAAGAAATTTGAACTCTAAAGAAGAATTATCTCATATTTTCTTTTTGTAGCTAATTGTTTCCAAACCAAAGGGTGGAACACAGAAGGGAGTAAAAAGATTAGGGAAATCAGTTTTTCAGAGGTAGAATGTAGCCAGCATTTATATTTTGCTTAATCCAGGCTGAACTTTTTGAAATATAAATACAAGAATAAAGACTTATTGACATTTTAATTACTTTAATAAGACTGTTTAATCAATAAGGAATTATCAAGAATATGGGCAAAGCATTTTTACTGATGTACCTTTGCATGTATTATATCTCCAATTGTAAAAACAAAAAAAATCCAGAGTCCAATAAATTTAAAAAAGAATTTTAATATGTTGACCTTGTTTTAAATTCATAAATACTATTCTTAATAAATACATTTAACATTTTTTTAAAGTTGTAACCAATGATTTTATAATTCAGTAAAATCAATTTCTCTGTTCCAAATTTCTGTTACACCATTGATATTTACTTTTCTCATTGTGGATAAGCAGTATTGTTAGTTTAGTCTCTAAAAAAAATCTTCATCTGGGGCATTCAGATCCATTGACATTTCTAAGGCAGTTGATATTAAATTAAACATAGCATGAATGTGACAGATACTACAACTGAATATATCGCTATTTACTTATAGCTTTTTGTTATCTTTCAAATATCTTGCAAGTGTGATGCTAAGCCATTTTTATAACACATTCCAGAAAGATGTTATACTGTACTTGTACTGTGCTGAAGGCTTTTTCTTATATCTAATGAAACCACTACACATTTTTCAGAATGTACTGTTTAACCTACATACTTACCAGTTATTTGATATTCTCAGTAGTTTCACAAAGCCAACGTTTATAGGACTAATTACCAACAGTAATACTTTCAACAATTTTTGTGCCAAGGTTGCAATCAGAATGTTTTTATCTTTATTTAACAAAGATCCTGGGAAATCCATTTCTGTTTTTAGACCAGCTGTAACACAAATGTCATGAAATGAATCAGTCCCAACCCAAAATAGCCACTGTCGGTGTTCCAGCAAACCTCCATTCCAGTCAGTCCCAAATGCAGTAAAGTTGATACACATATTCATTAATTACAGAATCACAATTTCAGTTCAGATCCCAGTTCAATGATTTGTAGGACATCCCCACATAACTTTTTACTCACTCCTTTCCATACTCTGACTAAAACCTAAATGCCAAATCTCATTCTCCCTCACTGTAGGTGAAGAAAATGCCATTCCACTTTTATGGTATTCTATTCAATAAAAACTATTTTATATCATGCATCTATTCTAAGTGAATAAAATTTGCAGGAGCAGACCTTCATTAAAAGATTAACTAAAATTACTGTCACATAAATAGGAACAAGATTTATTGTTATGTCTATTGTTAAATTTTACTGGAATTGCCAATAACATTCTGATCCAGTCTGCTTTAGAAAGAATCCTGTTTCTCAATGAGTGTGATCAGCTGGTCAGGTTTTAAACTCAGCTGAACCTTATGATCAAACATGATTTTAGTAAACTAGATTATTTTAGAGACCAATGAAAATTAGAATCCTTATCATAGTGCAGTTTTATAGAAACAGTTCAGGGCAAAACAAGGTGAATTCTTCTTGCTCTGTAATCTGAGTTCTTTAACATTTCTGGGAACAAGGAATAAAGAAAAAAGTAAAAGCAATTGTAATGTTTTCTGGTACTGATAATTGTTAGTAGCTCAGTGATGGGCTGATTGGAATAATTATTTTGTTAAGATATTTATGATGGAGAATAGGTTGGCCTGAAGTTCATTTCTGATCATGATTAGATATGCTGGCTAGTGGTGGGATTCAATTTTTTTTACTACAAGTTCTGTGGGCATGGCTTGGTGGGTGTGGCTTGGTGGGCATGGCAGGGGCAGGATACTGTAAAATCCCCATTCCCTCCCCACCCCACTAACCTGCTCCAGACTTGATTGCAGAAAGAACGACTTCAGCAACAGACTGGTCAATGCCTGGAATGGACTACCTGACTCTGTTGTTATATCCTCTAACCCCCACACTCCTTTAATCTCAAACTATCCACTATTGACCTCACCCCATTCCTAAGAGATCTGTAAAGGGGCGTGCATAAGTGTACCATCGTGCCTACTGTCCCTGTCCTATGGTCCCCATTTATTCATATCTATTTCCTGTATTTGTACTCATGTTTATACTTATATCTATTATCTTGTAAGTGATTGACAAATCAAATAAATAAAATAAAAAATAAATTTAGACTTTGAGGAAGAAACGTGCCTTGGAGTTTTAATTCTGTTGGAGGCATTACTTGGAACCCTGACAGCACATATAATTGGAAATCAAACCGTGACTGTTTAATTAAATGTAATCTATAAATATGTGGAAAGGAGATATAAACAACTATATTTCCAGACATATCTTCTACACTGTTGCTACATCCTCAGTCTTGGGGGTAGGTTAGGCAAGAAGAGAGATTTCAGACAGACAGCTATTCAAACTTGCCACAGGCTACTGTGACACGTGTTTGAGAATGGTGTCCAACTGGTGCTACAATTGTGTTGCTTTGGATCTGTGGAATGCAATTGTTGTTGCTTTTTAGTTTCCTCAGCAGTGATATTATGAGCAGCAACATCTAAAATGATGTCATCTCCATTTTACATAAATGTATCTTCTATTTATTGCTGAAAATAACATTCTGATAACGCAATCCTTTAGATCACCATCTCCAGTATGTTACAAAGAACTCTGATATCCAGGTGACAATTTTTTCACCTGAGCTTTCTTCTCACCTCCCACACAATTATTTTTCCAAAAACTTCAGAAAGCTCTGTGAGAAAAATGGCAAGGAACCCTGTAATTGTAGAAACCGATTTATCTAGCTTTTGTAAGCTACTGGATCAGGCTATCCTGAAATAATTGCAAGATTTTCAGCTAAAAAGTTGGAAACAGAAAAATGGATGAAGAAGGGAAATATTTCTTATTTTAATTCCATTTCATCCTTTAAGTAAAAACATATTAAACTGATTGCTAGAAATATTGTAGGTACTGTTCCTAAATAAGTAAGGAGTAATATTTTAACCTTAAGGAGAAGGAGATCAATAAAGGAGAATATTTATAGCTCAGGATTGAAATGAGGTGTTGGGTGATATTTTGATGGACTTTTTATTTTCTATTAATATAAAAGATAATGATATTTGAATGGGATAATACTAGAAAATAGAAATTAATCTAGGAAAGTGAAAAGCATCCCAGAAAAAGTTCAGGGTAAAACAATTTCTATATCACAGATGATGATAGAAGAATCCTACCTGAATCTTTTATTTTATTAAATCAATGCTGTAAGATTATTGGCTAAATATAATTTATTGAGACAATAAAGAGAAATGTGATACCAAAAGGCTGTTTTTCAGATACCCCTCTGGAATTAGCCATATTTTTATTATGAAGAATAGCAACCTATGGAATATCCTAGATGATATCCTTTAAATCATATCCTTTAAATCCATTGTTACAGCATTTGGTAATGAAACTAACAAAAGTAGAATACGTATAATTTTAAAACTTATGAAACCATAAGGTAAAATTATAGTTCTCTGCTACCTAAACTTGAAGAAATAAAAATATGAATGTATGATAGAAAAGAAGTTGTAAACATAAAATGATTAATTCATATGTATTGCTTTCAAAAACTAACAGGTCAATATAATTTTATATAAATATTTCCAACTGGAATGAATTCAAGTTAGAATTCTATATACACACAACAGAGAGTAAGCCAAAATGAACTCTTGGAAGTTTTTTCTGAGTAGGCATGCAGACTATTGTGTTACAAGAAAATGTACACCTATATAACGGTTTCTTTTACCAATATGTAGTCCTTGAAATACAATAATATCTCATTTAAATGTTCTTTGTTAACAGTTTGATTTAAAAATAAAAGGACACAGCTTTTTTTGGCAGGGCTTTTCTGATGGCAGTTCTGACCTCCTGGTTCCTCAGGCTGTGAATCAAGAGATTTACTACATAAAATAGGGAAGCCATTTGGTCTACATGGTGAGACTATCTGGAGCTTGGTTGTGCCTAGATAAAGCTATAACATCCATAGAAAATGCAATGACAATAAAATGAGATGTACGAGTGGAGAGGGCTTTCCGATGGCTCTTGGCAGAGCGGTCCTTTAAAATAGTAATCAGGATGTAAGTGTAAGAGGAAAGAACGGTCAAGATAGTTGTTATTACATTGAACCCAACAAGTATAAACATCAATAGTTCATTAAGGCTAATGTTTGAACAGGTAAGTTCTAATACGTGAGGAACTTCACAATAAAAATTCTTAATAATGTTTGGGCCACAATAGTGTAACTGAGATGCAGCAGTTGTGTGTACTAAAGAATTGATGATCCCGACAATATAAGAAAATGCTGTAAGTTGGATACATTTTTGGGGGGGACATGATAATGAAGTAGAATAGAGGATTACAGATGGCTACATAGCGGTTTTAGGCCATCACTGCTAGAAGGTAGCACTCTGTGGTGACAAATAGACAATAAAAGTAAAGCTGAGTAAAGCAACCTGCAAAAGAAATAGCTTTATTCACTTTTAAAAGATTGGAAAGCAGTTTTGGGGGTTACAGATGATGAACAACAGATATCCAAGAATGATAGGTTGGTGAGAAAAAAGTACATTGGTGTGTGGAGTGGAGGACTGGTCCTGATTAAAACAATCATGCCCACATTTCCCACCAGGGTGATGGCATAAATGGCAAAACTGCCAAAGGGTGGAAGGCTGAGTCAATCTTGAGCCTGGTGAGATTCAAACTGCCAAATTGCAGTCAGCTGACAGTCAGCAGAAGTAGCCTGCAGTACTGCATTCTAACTACTGCGCCACCACAGCTCTTATAATACATGGACATGTACTGTAAATAAGTAAAAATGCTTTGCTCTTATTCTTGATAGCTCCTTATTGATTAAATAGTGTTGTTATGGTTCTAATATAAAGAAATTAAAATAAAATGTCTCATTGTTCTTGTAATTATACTGCAAAAAGATCAGCCTGGATTAGTCCCACCCCACCCCCACCCCCACAGCTGGCTTTGTTCTAACTCTGAAGAACTTATTCTTTCAGGGTTTTTTTTCTCCCTTCTGTCCTCTGCCTTTTGGTCTATAAACAGCTAAAAAGCAGAGCTTGTCATTCCCTTTTAACTGACAGCAATCATTAGGGGACAATACCTAAAAAAAGGGATAACTCTTCTTTAGAGATCAAATTTAACTTTTTGAACTCAAAAGTAAATATATAGTTACTACTAGAGCCCTAAGAAAACTGTACAGCATAGTGGTTTAATATTTAAAGACACACAATGGTAAAAACATTTTCTTCTTTAAACCTGAGCAAATCATGTGTGTTGAACATGAAATTGTCTTCCCAAGATATTTCTAAAGGCACCTCTTACCTCCTGGTTCCTCATGCTGTAGATTAATGGGTTGAGCATGGGGGTCACCACTACATAAAATACTGAGGCCATTTGGTCAAGGTGATCATTCTGCCTAGAGCTTGGTCGTGTATACATAAAACTAAGACATCCATAGAAAATAGTGATGACCATGAGGTGAGATGTACAAGTGGAGAAGGCTTTCCTACGGCTTGCAGCAGAATGGAGCTTTAAAATGGTGACTAGGATGTAAGTGTAGGAAGTGAGTACAGTCAAGCTTGTTGTTAATAAATTGAAGCCAACAAATACAAATACCAACAGATAATTAAGACTGATATCTGAGCAGGAAAGAGCAAAAAGAGGAGAACCCTCACAATAAAAACTCTTAATTATGTTTGGGCCACAGAAGGACAGTCTAGTTGCAGCCATTGTGTGAATGAAAGCATTAATTATTCCAGCAATGTATGAAATTGCTATCAGCTGAACACACTTTCTTTGGGACATTATCATCAAGTAGAGTAGAGGATTGCAGATTGCCACATAGTGATCATAGGCCATCACAGCTAGGAGGTAGCACTCTGTGGTGGCCAACAGACCATAAAAGTAAAGCTGACTTAAACAACCCCCAAAGGAAATAATTTTCTTTTGCTTTAAAAGATTGGATAGGAATTTTGGGGTGACACATGATGAATAACAAATATCCAAAAAAGATAAGCTGGTAAGAAAAAAGTACATTGGTGTGTGGAGAGATGGATTGATCCTAATTAAGATAATCATGCTTAGATTTCCCACCAGGGTGATGGCATAAACAACAAAAAATGTCCCAAAGAGGATGAGCTGCAGCTGTGAGTCCTCTGTTAATCCAGTGAGTATGAATTCTGTCACTGGTGTATTATTTCCCATGTAATCACAATAACAGTGTTGAACAATATTTCAGTTAATTTTCATTTGTTTTTCAAATATTTGTAGTCTGAGATCCAAATAATTTTTTAACTTCCTAGTAAAAGAAACAGAAGTTGAAAGACCTTTGTTAAAGAGGTCAAGTAATAAACTAATATTCAGTTTAGAGGAAGCAATATTCAGTCTGCATAGATAACTGAAAATTGAATCAGGGCAATAGGATTTATTTTCTATTGGTTTAAGATGTTTTGCTGCTCATCCAAGCAGTTTCATCAGTCAGCAAATTAGTTAGGCAGAGAGTCATTGGAACGTTGCAATATGTCACCTGGGTAACAGAGATCTTATTGCCATGCACTTTGGGGAGGAAACCCCTCAGGTTTGTGCAGGAGGAGTTGCTACATTCCAAAGATTCTCTGCCCAAGTAACTAAGAATTGGATGAACAGCAAAAAAATGCTCAAACCAACAGAAAATAAGTTCGGTTGCCATAACTCAACTTTCAGGTAACTTTACCAGGATGACTAAGAAGCTTCACTGACAGCTACACAGATATTTTCTTTCAAATTAAAACTATATTATCATACTTTGAGTATTTGGTGCTATGCAATAATATAGTGAGGGTTATTAGAATGCATTAGGCATAGCCTACTCAATGTGATTAAAGCCCATGAATAAATTTCTCCACAGGATTATTAAAAACAATTAACAATGAGAGTGCTATTGAAATCTTTGAGGAGAGGAATTCTTCTTTAAACCTTGGAAGACCTCAGACCACTATCAGAGCAAATATGAAATATTCCTTTCACAGTATATCTTGAGGAGCTGTTTTATATTGCTCTGTTGGTTCATTGCTGGATCTACATGCTCCTTGACTTGTGGAAGCTGATGTTTGGGCTACAAAGGCTTCTTATTTATTGAATTGATTAAATGATTTATGAATGGCAAAAGCCACCCTGACTCTCTTGTCACAGGTGATTCATCACTGTCAACCATATTCTTGTATGCCTCTTATGATGGCCTTTAATATAACCAGCTCTACAGAGATGTTATTTTTCATTCTGTAAAACAGCTATCAAATAGTTCTAAAAACTATTTCTATGAAATTTTTTGAAGAATTACTTCTTAGTAAAAATAGTTCTCTTTTTAATCTTGCTTTTGTCATGTTAGTACCAGCTATGTTTTGATTGTTTTTGTACTACCCATTACTAAAATCTTACATATTACACCAAAACTTTTACAGCTTTATAAACATTTGTTTTGTTCCATCTCAAAATATTTTATCTTCTATGCCAAATGAATAGATTTATTCCTCACTGAACTATGAAATTACTTGATTTTTTTTAAAAAACTGGGGGATCGGATTGTATGCTTACCATGCAAGATTGCTTTTGCCATTCTGATTATCCAGTTAATGCTCTTTGAAGTAACAATAACTTATCATCCCATGAACTTTAAAGCAAACTCTCATAAGGAATAAAGCACAATAGTTGTATAGTAGCCTTTCTGATTATCAGACCCACCTTGTTTTCTTTCAGCTCAACAGCATCTTCCACATTTTATAATATCTATTTTTTCAAGCTTCTAATTGCAGGGTTTTGAAACTTGTAGTTGCATCCTTTTGCTCCTTTGAAGAAATTAAGATATTTTCCTTTAATTTTCAGCAATTCAAAAGCTTTATTCAATTCCGCAGACAATTATATTTCCTTAAATTCTCTTTGGAATGATGCAGAAATTAATTCTACTGAGAAAAACAATGGTTTGGGAAATATCTCCCTAAAGTGCTTCAAACTGCTCCATCTACTAACTTGTCTTAATAACACAGTGAAGGTTCAGTCAAACGAATCACAACTATTCAAAAATATTTATCAGTGGAAAATGTAACATTAAATAGAGATCACTTCTGTCCGCTTATTAATAGTATTTCATCATACCTTTTTCCACACACACACACACACACACACACACACACACAATGATAATTAATTAACACACATTATTTGTCCAGACTGATTTATTTCATAAGGTATGCATTATAGCTAGTCTAACATAAATGGATTGCCCAGGATCATAGATAAAATCATTTCAATTGCAATTGTGACGCAAATGTTGCTGAATTTATTACTATCAATAATTTGTACTTGAAATGCTGACTTTGCAAAACTTCTCGTAATATCAGATAACTGGTAAATAGATTAAACAGTACATTCTGAAAAATATGTAATGGACATGGTGACCTTATTAGATATAGGAAAAGCCCTTTATATAGTACAAATTAAATTTGTGAAACATGTTATAAAAGTGGATTCTCATCAAACTTTCAAGACTTTTGAAAGATTCCAAAAACTATATCTAAATAGCAATATAAACCATTAAAGTATTTGTCATACCCATGTGCTGTGAAATGTAGGATGAAACTTCTATGGATTTGAATGCCCTAGATTAAGATTTTGTTTAGAGACTAAAACAGCAAATCCATTTCATCCACAATAAAAATAAATATTGGAACAGAAACCTAGATTTTCTTGTATTATAAAAGTATTGATTTCAACTTTTAAGAAATATTAAATGTATTTATTGAAATAGTATTTATGAATTTAAAAAAAAGTCAATGTGTTGAAAGTCTTTTTGGGGTTTATTGTATTCAATGGATATTTAAGAAAACTGGTTGTTGGTCTTACATTGGAAATATAATATAAATGTATTACATAGCCTGAATTTTATATTGGTTAAACAGTCTTATTAGGGACTGTTGTAATGATGAGGCAGTCGAGTTGTTTGATCATGAACAACTGAATCATGATAATCTTTATTGGAGTCTAGTCTTGCATTTATACACATTTTTAGTTATTCTCCATCACTGGTTAACTTTGGTTACTGCTTAACTTTCGTTACTGTTTAGCACAGTAATCTATACTATTAATTATCTCTAGTTAAAGTCTAACATATGTTTACTTCCTCTCTCTAATCCTCCTTTAGATTAGTGACTTTATTTACCTGAGTTGTATTTGCTTGGAAACATTCTTTATCTGAGGTTTGCCATCCAAGACTGGAACATTCCTGCAATTACAACTCTACATATCCTTGTTTTTTTATTTTAAATGGAGGATTCAAAGATTTATGAATGTATCGCAATTGTAGAGGATTAAGAGAGGGGGAAGCAGGACGAAACAATGCGAATAAATTTGGAATACATTGAATAAAACAACAGGTTGCAATTAGTACAATAATAATAATTATAGCATAAAAGAAAAACTGTCTGAGCCAAGGCCAATCAGGGAGCCGATTGGTTAGCCCCTCAAAAGGTGAGTAATGAGCATGGATATTATTTTGAATGTATGATTATAAATTGGCAAACTCATCCTCAATAGTTTTATTCAAAGAATGAAAATGCACAGCACATCCACAGTGTCCAGCTAACGTACAGAACTTCCCTGATGGGCTAAAAGATAGTCTATGGCAAAACGCTGCTGTAAGACATCTTGATTTAAGTCTTCTATTTCATGCTGCAAATCACCAATAATAGCAGCGGTAGCATTGATGGATTTTTCAAGTCTGCAGGTGAGACCAAGAATAGATCGTCTGTTTTCTTGAGCAATTATGCCAGGATAAGAGCCTAGAGTAAGGACTCCTGTAACGGCCTCTGCCAATGCATGGCCAAATGTAGAACCAGAAGACAATTGTGTGTCAATAATGACTTCATCATTACATGTAGGCCCCAGAGAGGAACGCCGCTATCGAGTTGATGGGAGCGTACCTATTTGAACAGGTAGAGTAAAATAACCTATAGTTGCACATTGATAATTCTGAGGATGAACATTAGTAGCATATTTATCAAAAAAGAACCACATATTAGGATCCTTAAGCTGCCAACCAGCACATATCGATCCTGTATTAGATTGATCAGAGGCATTAAAAATAGGAAAATTGTCAGGATACATATCAGAAGCTATGTTAATTCCATGCAAAGAAGAATTAAAGGTACCTGTCAACCAATAGTAGTCAGAACAATAACTATAATTCCCTAGCTTTTTAAATATGTGCTGAGCAGCATCATAATCAGACCAATTATGAAGCCAAATGTGTTTAGCGTGACAACAGAAACACAGACCCCTTGTAAATTGACTAACTTTCAAGTAACGCCAACGGACAGAATTCAATTGCATAGGGGGTGTAGAAAATAGCCAGGAGTGTGAGATAGATTGTAGTTGTGAGACAATAAATATAGAAGACATGATCAAGTTAGGGGTAAAAGAAATTTGACCAAATGCCATTGGGGGCTCATAGTATAAAGTAATATTTGTGCCATGGGTCATAAATATGTATTGGGCATGACGAACCCACAAATTAGGGTTAAGACGAACCACAGAAGTATCATTTTGAGCAGAAACACCATTAACCATAAACAAGAAAATACAAAGTAAAATGGTAACAGAGTTAGCAGTAATAATAGCAAAAACAGCAGCAACAAGATTTTCAGGAGTCTGAGGTAATGAGGCCTGTTGCAGTTGTTGTTGAGCTTGATATGTAGTAGATTTAACCTGGCCCCAAGTGATGGGTTGCAGGTGCGTCGACCTTGGAAGACGGACTTCCGTGTTCAGATGAAGATTGAAATCCGGAATCGGGTTGTGAAGGCCCTGATGCCATGCCATGATACGGACGAACACAGTGCGCTGGAACCCACACTGCTTGTCGAATAGAAGGATCTTCCACGGCAGCGTAACCGCGACCCCAGGTGATCAGCGGTGTAGGGCCTTTCCAGGTTGGATCTGGAGCTTGGCGATACTTTACCAAAGGCCTTGCTAAAGATTCAGTAGTTCGAAATGCAAATTAACAGGTGAGTCTGCAAGAGAATCTAAAAAGGTTAAATAGTTCCAAATATATAATGCTACAGCAATGAGATTTTGAATCTTTCGTAGATGGTAAGGACCAGACTCAGTTTGTAATTGTTCCTGAAGCAATGCCTTAAAAGTACAATGAGCTCACTCAACTATAGCTTGACCCTGAG